TATATATATATATATAATGTATTAGATAGATAGAGCCATGAATAAGCTGTGATATATAGTTGGAATCTAGTTACTAGTTGTTATATATTCTTAATATGGTTGTAATATACGTATTGTGTAGTTATAATAGGCATGTAGTGTAGTTGATACTATGCTACTATGAGTTTTCAAGGTTCGGGGATTCGTTGGAGATTGTGGTTTAGGGTTTGCGTTTGTTGGCATAGCGGTATAGCTGTCACTGTTGCAATGCAGTGATGTGGCCCCAGGTGATCGACGCCGCTGTGTCTGCGAGGACCTGCAGTTCAGAGAAATTCGCAAGCTTGAGGTAGAATTATGCGTTTGCCACAATGTGGGTCTGTCCTGGCACTGGCTTGCCCTCAAACGAAATCCGACGTTGGTCTCTAACTGCATGACAAGCTCCCGAAGCGCGACTAATAGAACAAAACTACCACCATCCAAATGCAATCCATCATGTGACCAGCATGCGCATGCGCAGATTCGCTAGGCATGACGTTCAATACTGAACAGCTGCTATTGTTATATTATAACACGAATTGAGTTTTCGAACTAAATAATGCAGTATTGCTTTGAGAACTCTATCATATCATCTTCAGAGTATTCACTCAGTGCGTAGGTCAGCACTGGTGACTTATGGCAAGACATTCTCTAACAGGGCGTGCCCCCTTGTGCGGTTATCAAAGTGCAATCGTTGTAATCGACTCGTTAAGCTTAGATCTACACGCAGAGAGTCATTCAAGCACGAAGCCATATGCCGGACCATTCTGTCAGGTGCCCGTTTGGTTTGTGGCGGCCCCAAAGCAAGAACTGATGACGAGACAGCTTGCAAGAAGCCCATGCCTTTGAGCTTTGTCCAGACCAGAGGATCTTTCTGAATTTCCTGAAAGTCTTCGTGGCGTCTACGCTAATCGGCGTGGCAGGCACCTGCTGTGCCAAATGGCATTGATCCTTTCACATTTCCGGATGCAGTATCTGGCATGCTTTTGAAAGATGAGACTCTACAAGGTTCCTGACGCTTACTGCCATGAGGAATGGAGATTCGGGCAAGGTCTCATGTCTACTTAAGCCCCAAGGAAGCCAATAGCTCCTTTACCGCGGATCGTATGTGTACTATGTGTACACCGTTATCTTTTTTCGCCTGTCTCCTCGACTTTACCAGTAGTCAGTAGTACACTTGAAAGCTTGAACCCCTTCCCTGCAATACCCTCAGGCACCCTGCCCTACGCCCTACGTGTCCAAGCACGGCAGCTAGCGCATTCTCGTGGTAACACTCCTGAAGGAAACTGCAATCTCACAGAGTACTTGGTGGCGAGATCAAAATACCAAATCTGAGTCTTAAAACCTGAAGCCGCAGTCCAAACAAAAAACTCGAGGCGGCTTGGCCACAGCCTTCCTCCTGAAGTCTGCGCGGCTAGGAGCCGGTTCGAGTCTGGAGCTCAGAGCCCTCATGGCGCCATACAGTGTATACTTTGTTTGAGTGAATAGTATATACTATCTAGTATGTAGTATATGCTATATACAGTATATAGAATATACAAGTATGTGCCACATAGTATATACTAGATAGTATACAGTATATAGTATACAGTAGGTACTATATAGTATACAGTATTCAGTAAATAGTGTATAGTAAATAGTAAAGGACAGGGCTTAGCGTTTGGGACGGCTTCGTCCCTGCAAGGTGAAGGTGAGCATTTCTATTTCAACATCCCGGAGATCGGAGTAGCTCTTGCTGCTCGGCGGCCAAAATGTCACAAATTTTCGTTACGGAAACAACCGACGCAAATACTGCTTGGGTCCGCTGCCTTGCTCTGGTGCTCCCGGTGCTCTTATCTCCGAATGCTCGCCCTCCTGTGATATCAAATCACTGCACAGCAGTCAGGACAGTAGCGGAAGCTTTAGATCTGGAACACTTTGTTTGGCAGGTACTCAGCTGAATCCTGCAAGCGCACTACCGAAGCTTGTTCCATCCGTGTGCTGGCACCTAACATTCTAGAGCTTGAGAGTCCGGCATATCGCGGAAGCGCGCGGCGCAACTGAGGTTCTTGCCTATGTGCCCTTCCTTGCCGCAGAGGCTTGCGACCTTTCTGGCATTGTGGCGATTATGCCTCTCGACGGTGGTGGGGGAAATTTTAGCTGAAGAGGGTTACACAAGGTCACGTTGCTTTGCTTGTGAGTGTTTGGGTTCAGATCTAGATTGGCTATGTTTTGCGCCGGTAAACGTAGTTGTGCTTCGGTCGTCTATGTCCGGGAGAGATTCTCCCAACCTATCTGGTGTGATAAATCAAGAAAGACTTACCCACCACTGTTGCCACATAGAGAGCCTTTACCATTTTGCTCCCAAGGTTTGCAGGCATTACGATGCGCCACTACGCGCACTTCAATCTGACGCAGGCTGGAATGTCTATTGCATTTCAAGCCACGAGTGAAGCCTAAAGATAGATTCGGCTCTCTGATTAGGTAGAAACATGCCCAGGAGCCCGCGCTGAAGCGGCGATCAGCGCTAGAATTCTCAAGCCGCTCACGCCGAACGAAGGTGACGCGGCAGATTTTCTTGCCGACTGTGGAGCTCATAGCTTCCCTCTGCGAGACATATGCCTCTTGGCCCTAAGACCTAAATTGTAGGGTCCTAGAGATTCGGAGTCTTCGGGCAGATCATGCCCAGGGTGCAGGAAGTGGTTTCGCCGCGGTCTTGCTCCGAGAGCATCCCATGAGCTGCAGTACTAGGGCTCATAGATTCCCGGTGGGGAGGGACATTGGATTCATACGAATCATATTCCGTCCTCGCTGACGAACCACAATATGTCCTTTGAGGTAATATTGACCGTAGCCCAGCATAACATCGCACTCCCTTGATGTAGGCATTGGGATGGCGCATGCATGATACCAAGACCAGTCTTGCACGCCAAACTTTCAAAATGAAGAGGCTTCGGCTACACGCGACCTTGCTAAAGATACATTACTTGAGATGCAACTTGGCATATGCCTTCCCGCGTCCCCAAACCTGTCTCAGAACCCTGCAACCTGCGAGGTCTTCATTCTTCTGGGTCTCGGGGTGTTTCTGCTCCAGGGCGCCTTTTCAGCGTCGCTGGCGCCTTGGCGAAAGCTGACGCTTCCTGGTTTGCTTTTCCTCAACGGGTCTACGTTTATGTGGGGGTCCTTGCCCCCACACCCCACGGCCTCATAACACAGACCAGTGATAGACTTGGGACCATCAACTTCGCTTCAGGTGCTCATGCCGCCAACATTCCAAAGCATTCGAAGGGGCCAGTGACCAAAAGCCGAACTCTTTAGTGGTCATCGTGGTGGCATCAGCTTCAATGTGGCTGGTAGCGAGCCAATAGAGATGGATTAGCGACATTGACCTACCTACAGATCCGCATGCACAATGCAACCGTTTTGTTATTTGTTTGTAAGGCTAACCTCAAGTTCGTGTCCACGTCGCCAGTATCAAACCAGCTTGTCCCCAGCTACGAACGCCAGCCAGGCCCAAGCGCCGAAGTCGCCTAAACCAAGCCCCAGCCGCAGGTGATTTGGTCTGCCCTGGCTTGCCTTCTTGGCCGCTTAGTGCGTCCTGGCCTTCTCGCAAGGGTTGCAGAGTTTGGTTTCTGGTTTCAGGCCGAAGTTGATTTGTGTTCCAGTTGAGCTGTCTTGCCCCCTATCGCTCCAAATCATACGATGGCCTCGCTATTTTCGGGAAGTGCAGGGGGCCAAAGACAGAACGCACTGATATGGCTTCGGGATGTTTTGTCTGTTGCTCTGAGATTAAGTCGGGGTGTTGTGTTGACTCTGACGCTATTTCGGGAAGATGTGTTCATTTTGTCTCCCGTTGATGTGTTGATTGCGTCCGTAGTGTAGATCAGGAAGGATTGAATCCTTCGACGGCTTTGCATTACAATAAGGGTGAACAAGAAGCTGGCGTTTTTGTCGACCTGCAAGTTCATTGGATGCTCTGGTTTTCTGTCCGTCATTCCTTGGTAGGTAAAGGTGTTCTGACTTCGGACAGCCCCGAAAAAGCAAAGACATGGAAGGCAGAATACTCAAAGGCATCATCCGAAAGAACTTGTCTTCCGAAGGGATACGGCGAATAGTGCAGCCATCGCGACTATGTATCTAAGGCATTCTGCAAATCCCTTCGAACACATGATGCGTACCAACACAACACGCAGGCATGTTTACCCGCTGTCGTTCCTTGCAAACCGCATCTCGACCGGGCCGAAGCTGTCCGTGAAGGCCTTCATCGGCCCGCGTGGTTGAGGGTGATGGGGGAGGCATTCTAAATTTTTACAGCCTTACACCATGGTGGCGGCAGCTGAACGCCTGCAAAAGTTGTGAATCCTTGGCTTTTCAACCCTTCATCCGAGAGACCCACACCGATACTCTAGGCGCGTGCACATAGGCACTGGGAATTTGGCAGGGCTTTCTACCATCAGGCTTGGGCCGCCACCGTCTCCCTAGCCAAAGCTAAGTCAGTAGCCTCAAGCCGATTCTCATCATTTTCTCCTACCAGGTCGTTCTGCCATATGGCAAGAACCTGTCATGGGTTTTGGTTGGATACATAGCTGTAGGCCATGACGCTTCGGGCTTGCGCTTGAGAGCTTATAGACTTATAGAGCCTTCGATCTTTGCTGAAAGGAGATGCACATGGTCTGGATGGCCGGGCTGCGTGGAGTCATTGCCTTCATTTGCGCTCTGGGCTTCCCGAATGAGGCCCGGCAGCCACCATGCTGAAGCCTTGAGCACGGGACTTTGGGGGTTTGCATCTGGTTCTTGGTGCTGAGAGCATGCTGTGGCAACCCACTCTGTCTATGGAGAATTCGAAGCTACAAGCAGCGACTGCATGTGCACCCTTCGACGTCCTAAGCCCTAAACCTTCCATGAATAGCTTGACAATGAGACCTCACAAATACATCCTGAACCTCATGTGCCAAAGCCGCCATGCGAACCCCCAATGAAGGCCAGTCATCAAGAGTTCTTCCTTTTCACCACGGCAGTGGCCTCAGCCTTGCAGGCTTGAGAAGACTTTGTAGGTCTTCCAAACTTTTCCGGGAGTTTCAATGAGTTGGTGTGGGGGTGCCTAGGGCTTTTGGCACCAAGCCCGACTTTCTAGCCTGGAAGCGGGGCTTCGGCACTCCCAAAGCCCATCCTGGGACCCCTAACGCCAAAAACGCATTTCTTCAAAGCTGCTGCTAAGCCCAGCCTTCGGTGCGACACGTTAGCGTGTCCTGTCCTGACCCCAAGCCCAACATCCTCCTCAGCTATTTCCCAGAGGCCCGCATCCCAGGTGATTGTGGTCGGGGCCTCTTTGGTCTTCCTGGGCTGGCCGACCGCCCCAACGCTGCGATGCTTGGGCCTCGCCGAGCCGGAGCCGGCTCCCTGGCCGCAGGATAAGACGGCGCACTGCCGGCGCAGCCAGCGCAAGAAGATGCGGGGGTCGGAGCAGCAGGTGCGGGAGACGTATCAGGCTTCGTGTTTAGGGTTCAGGCGCGCCGCAGCGCAGCACCAAAGACCTCCTGCAGGAACCGCTGCGTGCTCCAAGAGCTTCCTGGTCCACCCTTCCCGGTGGCGCCTCTGCGCGGTGTGTTTCGCAGAGGCAAGGGCGAGGCGTATGAAGAGCACACTAAGACAGAAGGTACTTGCCATTGTCATTGTCATTGTATATAGAGTCTTGGTAGAAGGGTATTGCAAGCTGCTCTAGCTGACTCTAGCTACCCACTGACGTACTGACAGCAGCAGACGTATTCACGTGCAACACGCTACAATGGTCGTGTCTGCACTGCTGAACGAAGTCCAAAACGCTGGTCGTGAGTCTTCAGAGCAGACGACACAGGAGCAGCGTGCTCACCGTAATCCCAAGCACAGCGATCGTAGAAGTAGCAGGCTGCAGTCGTAGCCTGATCGAAGATGCCACGAGGGCAGCTTTCGCAAGACTCGCAACGGCAACAGCATGAGAAGCATAATCATTAGCAGCGCCAGCACCAGCAGCGCCAGCAGCACTAGCATCGGGGTGCCGAAGGCCAGCAGCAAAGGCGGCGGAGCAGCAACCACTGCCACCGTCACCATGATGAGCATCATCACTTCTGGCGTCGTCTGTGTCGAAAAAGCCGACCCTTGATGCCTTGGCCAAGCAACCTGGAAGAACCGCAACTGAGTTCCCGCTCTGTGGGTTGAGCCTTCCAGTGGTATCCAGTCGTTGCCGGCTGAAATGTGTGTTGCATGAGCCCTGTCACAGGATCAAGAAGCTGCGGCTGGGCTGCAATGGGCCCACCTCTAAACAAGGCTTAGATTTGCGTTGGTAAAATTGCCACTGAGTTTCTAAAAACTAATAGCCATGGGCACCACGGCAGCAACTCCTGTCCCTTTGATAGGAATGAGAACAAAAGACTTCCAGCATGGCTTCAATCGATGCCCGGAATCGTGTGTTGCAAGTTGATCGTCTTTGTCTTGAGTCACTCCTTGGGATTTCTTAAGCGGGGCTTGCATCGCGGCTCATGGTCATCATGTAGCCGTTTTTGACCCAGCCGCCTGAGCCGCCTGACCTGGGCCCCATGGGGTTCTCGTCCCTAACCCCAAAGCTCGACCCATCTTCAGGTTAATGACGCAAGATGCTATCACGGAGGAACAGCTGAATCAATTCGAGGAAGACCCGCCGGGAGGTTTTCGGAAGGGCTCGGTTTCGGTTAAAACTTTTAAACTTTTGAGCTTAGGCGTATCGGGCTTCTAGATGGCGGCGCATTCCCTTCCCGTTGAAGTGCTGGAGGCAAGGCCGTCGAATTCCGCACAGACATGTCGTGCGCAGTTTTTGCAAAGGAAGGCCGCACCATGCATGACGCTCGGAACCCCAATCTCCGCAGGAGTCCAGTGGCACTCTCGCCTCTCCGGCGGAAGCGGCCATGGGTTGCATGACAAGTCGCTGGAGCCGCTTCAGAGGCTGTTTCAAGGTCATAGGACGAGGATTGGATTTTTTCTTCAACGCATGGCTGGGCACACTTGCCCGCATTGTGGAGGTTTGGAGTTCTCAAACTCAGCTGTTTGCAGGATCGTCAAGATAGGAGGGCTGCATGCAGGTTGCGAACCGGCTGTTTTAGAAAGCTATCGAACTTGTTTCTGTTGCTCTTGCTACTGTCAGCAGCAGCAGCAGCAGCAGCAGCAGCAGCAGCAGCAGCAGCAGCAGCAGCAGCAGCAGCAGCAGATCCTAGCGGAATAGTGATGGTGGTGATGATTATTGTAGAAAAAGATGATGATGTTGGAGTTGGTGATGGCACTTGTTCTGATGTTGTTGTTGATGACCGAGGTGGCCGAACAAGCAACAGCAACGGCATGAAACCCTAAACTTAGTGCTAGTGATACGATGCCTGAGAGCCAAGATGACAAGCAACGTCGCATAGCTCGAGCTACCCCCGAGGTGCTTCGGGGCCGCTGGGCCGCTTTTCAGCGCCCGGGGCTGCAGGCCGCCAGTATGAAAAGGAAGGTAATGATGATGATGATGATGATGATGATGATGAGATGATGATGATGATGGTGGTGGTGGTGGTCATGACGATGATATTGACAATCGCGTCGATGACGGTTGGTATTGTTGCCAGTTGTACGGTGAAGTCACAGTAGGCATTTTTGTCTCTGGCCTGATAGTGTTTTTCTCCGTGTTTTGTGCACGTTCGTGTCTCGAATTTGAGCTGCTTTCGTGTGTCAGGTCTTCGAGAGAGTTGACGGCTTTTTGTCGGCGTGTTCCAGCCACTGCGAGGCGTCCGGGATGCGGGCTTCGATGGCCGCGTGGGCCGCCTGTCAGCGCCCTCGCGGCTTCATGCTACGGGCAGGCCAGGATACTGCTGCGAAAGAAGCTCTTCCGGCGTAGGCTTTGCAGTTTGTTTTGGTGAGTTGTTGAGCAGTTGTTACTTCCAGTTGGAATACGACGTGCCACTTCACTCGTGTAGCCGCTAGTATAGCCGTACAGCTCTGACATGCGACTGTTTCGTGACCAGGCTTTGGGACTGTTTTATACTTACAGATGCAGATATGGCACCCATAGAACCCGCCGGAACGTTGACGTGGCCACTGTCGCGGCGAGTATAAGCTATGAGCGTGTCGGGCCTCTTGGTCGTTCTTCCTTTCGAAGCATCCTCAGCATGAAGGTTCTTGGCATGAGCCGAGTGGTTTATTCTTGTAACTCGTGCGAGTGTGTTGCATGTTCATGTCATGGATAACAGGAACAATTGCACCACAGTTGCGACGTCTGCAGCTAATTGCCTTGGAGACTGCACACTAAGCATGCAGCGCGGAAATCAAAGAAACACGTGCTACGGACACAAGAAGCATGTCCTTCTTGCGATGCGAGGTTATCTATGCCAAGCCGCTCTTCGCGAATGCTCTGTGACATGTGAGATGCCGTCGATTTCATGCGAGTGTGTGCTTGGACCATCTCCTTCCATGAAGTGGTTTGGAATGTTTGTTGGATGGCTCCGAGTCGCAGGATCTCAGCAAAGCAAGAAGTTGTCTTTATGGTGGTGGGGAGGTGGTAGGGCTCTGGATCTGCATGAAGGTGGCCCGCATCTGCATGTCCGACTTGAGCGAAGAAAGGCCAAAGAGGCATGTACGCTGCCCTTTCTCAAAATGGAGGTACCTGTCGGATAACCTTACCGCTAGTGAACTTGAGCTTCATCCCGCACGCCCTAGTTCAAGCCATCGTCAAAGCAATAAACAAGACTTCACCGCCTGATTTTGGGGAAGAGCCTCGACAGCAAGTGGGCACTTGGCAGCGCGGGAGACACTTGGTCTCCCGGGGTGTCTTCAAAGGCACCACCGTCTGGGTGGCAAAGCCCGTGTTAGCCGAAGAGAGGCGACAAAACGAGGAGAAGCCAAGACTCCTGGGATCCTAAAGACTATATCTAATATTACATATCTTTGCTCAACCATGGAACAGTAAAGACTATGCCGGAGCATGTAGTACTTCGAGGCAGCAGGTTGCCGACAATACTGGAAATCGGATGCAACCCTGAACCCTAAAACCCTAAGCCGTTTTGATCAAGGACGTTCGACCGTTGACCCGTTGACCCTGAAACTTTAAGCAGTGAATCGTCCCTGCGGGAAGTCGAACTTGCTTGCTACGCAAAGGGTTGAACAAGCTGATGGTGTGCTCGTGCCTATCTCCATGCTCAAAGGTAGCACCTGCCCCCCTCACGCGGTGCATGTACGTGGTTAGAGGTGCCATCAGCCCGAACTGAGTCGTACCTCACGCATATAGACGCTGCTCTCAAATGCTCTGATGAATCAGCAAACACTCAGTGCCATCCCGGTTGATGTGCCCTTTCTCCTGACAGCCCCAAGCAAGATGTGACACACTTGCCTTTAAGCGAGAATCGCAAGCCTTGCGGTAGCCCCTCCATGAGCGTTTCTGGACCGAATTGAGCTACATATGCGCTGTGGACCACAGCGCCCGCACAGCAGCGACCTCAGCATCCTACTGACTCGCGACGAGTTACCATGTTTGACCTGCGCCGGACTCCGTCCCAATAGAGGGGTCGATGCAGAAGAGACCCTTCGTGACATCTCTCGTGCCGGTGTGTCGCAGCTTGCCTGAAATCCAAAGGGCAACCCAGTCCATGTGGTAGTGGCAGCGGACCCAAGTGTGGTGACCATAGCCTCGCCTCTTTGCCAACAGGTGCTGCACGAGGCCGGTTCCAGCGTGCTACACCGGCCCCTTGCCTTTGATCAGTTTTAACTGAGGGGATGAACAGGGCTTTGGGACTTCCGGATTGGGGACTTACGGACCCCCCCAACAACTCAAGAGCTTCATGCAAGACGAGTGTGGTCGAAGCTGATGCGAGGCATCGTTGTCCCGGATACCCAGCGGATGTTTTGCACGCCACGGACAACGGGTTCTTTCAAATCTTTCAAAGGTCTGATGAGACCAGTTGGGATTGCTGAAGCTCTGATGCTTTTGCCAAAGGACGGGCGGCGCCCACAGGGAAAGCGGCTTGACCGGACTCTGCCAGGCGCTTTGGGACTGCTGAAACAAACTTGGACTCTTTCAGGCCCTCACCCTCAGACCCGTAAACTCTGGACCTTAAACTTGTCCACGCAAAAAAACCTGTCTACTAGTATGTCAGTGTCTACAGCCAGGCGCCGAGCATGGCCATCGCTCTGCCCTGGAGGCGGCTCAGGTCGCCAAGGCGGTCGAAGCCTTGGGAGCCCGAAGCCCCCGAAGCCTCTAAGGGACAACGATGGTTGAGACCAATGCTCGAAACTGTCAGAACAAAGCTTTGGTTAATCACACAATGCCACAAGATCCTGCAAGAGACCTTTGACAGACGAGGTAGTCTTGGTTCTCTTTGTCTCTGGCAGCCTTGTGCTGCAGCGTGCTCTCTCACACAAGTGCACGTGCTTCGCAAGCGGAGCCAAACCGTGATCGTGATCAGGCATCACCCTTTTGGCTGAAGGTTGTGAGCTAGTTCGAAGAAGACGAAGAAAATGAGGATTGTGATGGTCATTCTGGCTGTTGCTGCGGTGGTGTTGGGGGTGGTGGTGGAGCAGATGACCCGCCTCGACAACACCCATCCATGTTGGACCCAGATTTCTTTCGAGGAGCCGATGGGGAGGTAATGGCCAATCCACA